ACGTGCCAATTGACGTTTCAGCAAAAGATGCAACATTCTTGGCGATTGGAACGATGGTCCGATCCAAAATCCATCATTCCGTGAGTATCCCAAGACGCTGGATGATGCCATCGACAGTGCAATGCAAGAAGAGTTCAGCATCAAGCAAGCCAAGTCCAATGGCTTCGCCCAATGCAAGCGCGTCAGTCAACTGGCACAAGTGATGGTCCACAGCCGATCGACATCGCGTACACTTTCACGCCTGGAAATTAGCGCTCTCGCAAAGATAAGAAACATTTTTGAGGCGGGATCAGGGTCAGATTGCTTGGAACTGCAGAGTATCTCTGCCGAGTCGGCAACCGAAACAGGATGTTCGATAGGAAATATGAATGTCGTCGGCTTGAATGGTCACAAGAGTAACAAAATGCGAGCGACCAATAGAGGCGGGACTCCCTGCTGAGATCAAGAAGAGTACTGTGGATGCTGTGGATACACAAGACTCTGGCTTTAACGTGTATGATGCACATGCAGTTACCACTAGAGCGGTCATTCGTTTAGCGAATGGACATAGAATGAAGATGCCAAAGCAAGTCACTTGCTTGGCAATGTTTAAAGATTTCCGAGGCAAAGACGAGTATTTCCTACTCGAACTCAATGATAAATTTAACGTCATTGACTCGATGAATATGAAGATCGTCGTCAATAAGTCGTGCAGCGCTAATTCGAGCTGCATGACGATGAATCTGTTGAAAAGTAACAGATGTCCCAAGTGATATCGTGGTGTGCGGTGGCCCCCCATGCTTACAAAACAAGTCCAAGAAGACAAAAGTAATGACACGAACTGTAGGTGGATCAGTCCGGCGCCAGAAAAAAACATTTCCTTTGCCATCAATATGGAAGTCATGATCGATAGAGGATTAAGAATTGTGGGTTAGAGGCAAAGAGCCATTCGAGAAAAGAATAAATTGGCCACCAAGAAGATATTTCCGTCAATGTTATGCGTGCCTCTGATCAAAATACAATCTGTATTGATAAAAAAGTGCTAAAGGACAAGACACTCCGAGCGAGTTTATAAATGTTGTGGCCGACAACGAAGACGATGACGTTGATCTAATCCGTCGCGTGAAGGTTGAAATATCTACAAGTTTGGTCAAAAAGATAATTTTCTTGCCGTTGATGAGCAAGATGACACTAAAGCGTAGCTTGCAAAAAGAACAATTTCGCAAATATGCGCGATCGTCGAAGAAGCTATCGACGGTGACATCAGTACTGCGGATGAGTTTTATACGAAGACGGAAGGAAAGAATTAATAAGTGGGACGCTCTGAGTACAAACCCCGTGTATGGACTTGTCAAGGAATATGCTTATATTCCCAAACAAGATGCCGGACGAATTGCCATCTGACAGAGGAATTTATCATGAGAATAGTATCATACGGCAGTGGCCGTTGCCAAAAAAACAAGTCATTGCAACTAAGCAAGTTTTTGCGAAGTTACAAAAGGCTGGTTATGTGCGTGAGAACAAGTCTCTGCATTGTAGCCTAACCTTCTGTGTGAGAAAAGCCACAGGTGGTTGACGCATTGTTGACGATCATACCTGCCCATACTGCCGTTCCACACAAGGATTTGATTCTTGATGGAATGGTTGGCAGTACAATTTTCAGTGCAATCAATCTGAAAGATGGTTTCTATCAGATTCGAATGCGCGAAATTGATACACCACTAACTGCAGTCAGTATCTCTAGTGGTATGCTGTAGACCAATTAGTTGCAGCGGGGCTGCCATAGCTTTGCGCTTAGAGGAAGCGTAAGTCAGGTCACCGACCTTTTGTTCTCTACTTGAAACAATTATGAGTTTAACGGATCGCAATCCGCTTACTCCAAGAGTAATTAAAATCTTAATCCAAGGCTAATTAACTCTTCCGTTTAAATCCAAAACAGACTTTATTGATTTTCATCTGCGGCAAAGCCGTCCAATTTTAAATGCATAGATTTTCCTAAAACTTATAGTAAAACCTGAATACATGTATAATTACTGGCTATCCAGTCCCGAACCGTATTCTTGTTTGGGTGTGGTCACACCATGACCATCTGATGTGACACACACACCTGTTACCAGGGTATGTGTAACCATTTACATTAGTGATGCCACAAGGTTTGGAGAACGCTCCAGCGACTATCAGCAGAACGGTCACGAGTCCTTACGTTTATTGAGAGCGTTTACACCAAGTTACTTTGACGATATATTCGCTTAAAGTAAGAAAGCAAGTGAGAAGTCTGATGTCGACGGTTATCTTGATAACTTCTTCAGGTCGTTCAAGTTATGCGGGGGAATAAACCCTACGTGAACTATAAAAGTGCATTTACTTTGCACGTGAGATCCCCGTTCTACGCCACTTTGTAGCAAAGACTGGCATTCGTGTAGACCCGAAGAAAGCTATAGCAATCAATGACCGGCCTGTGCCAAACAAAGTGAAAGAGCTGAGACAGTGGTTGGGCTCAGCCCGCTATTTACACAAATACACGCGTAATTATGAGACGTTGATGCAACACCTAACGACTCTTTTAATGAAGAACGTTGAGTGAAAATGGTCAAAAGATCATGAGGCGGCATTTGCCGAAGTGATAAAGAGCGTCGAAGAATCTTCTATCCTCGCAATTTCCGAATCACGATAACTCTTCTCATATGGTTTGCGATACAAGTGATTATGCCATCGGTCGCTCGTTGATGCACCACAATGTTGAGGGTCAAGAATGAGCTGTTTCATATCAGTCCCGACATCTGCGGAACGGAACTGTTCAGTTCATAACAGAGGCTCTGGCAATGAAATCTTTGATTTAGTTCCGTTTGTATTTGCTTGAAAAGCAGCGCTTTACGATATAAACAGATCATGTTTCGCTGCGACATATAGTGAAAAAAACTCCTCATTTATCGTCCAACATCTTAGTCAAAGCGTTGTCAGAATGTCCGGACTATGATTCTAAGTCTAGAAACGAAAACATGCACGAGTCATGTCGACAACACTAAGATGGTTAGACGGTCAGATTGCAAGCGACAACTATAGTGCGCGAAGAAATTATCGAAGGGTACAAGTCTGATACATGTCAGGACTTGATGAGGTTTTTCAAGGACCCTTCCGACAAAGCATTACAAGGTCTCCCGTCTCACACTCAGCTTCGTCCAGTGTCCACACTTCCTGAACCATCGGAGCCGTGAATTTCCAACAACATCCGACGAAGAGCTGCTATGTCTGCAGCCTTCTTCCAGTGGAGAACATGCCACTCTACGCGCATCAGAAGGGCCTTGCCCAGGATGTCTTGGACTTCGCTGGACCATGCCACTCTTGGCATACAGCAACTGCTCCGTAACGTGAGCGGTGCTCATTGGGTTACGTGTCACTCCACGTGCATCACGAGGGCCTCGCCCTCGATGCCTCAGCCATTAATTAACCGTGCAACTCTTGGCATGCATCAACTGCTTTGATACTGAAGCAGTGCGCAGTGGGTTACGTGCCAATTCAAGATCAGCCCGCAAGCCATGCTGGGGACTCTTGTTCGATACACCTTCGGTGTTCAACAAATCGGATACTTCGATATCCAGCACATTGACCGTCCCAGGCCAGTGCCCGCGCCAAAAGCGCTTTTACTTCCGAACAGAGGTGGGCTCATGACTCACCAAAGCTCCACCAGGAGAAATGCGCGTAGCGCCCTGGGTCTTCGACCTTCAATCAATCCCTTCAACAATCCTTCTTGCACGCTCTCACGAATAACATGGTGCTTGATATCCACATGCTTCGTCCTAGCGTGGTATCCGGCATTCTTGGCTAACGCGATCGCACCTTGGTTGTCTTCTCAAACCTGTGTTCCTTCAACTTGCTCGTCAACCATGTCTCACAACATTGCCCGTGTCCAAAGAACTTTCTGCGTGCAAAGGCTGAGAGCCATATACTCAGCTTCCGCTGAACTTGGCGCAACCATCCGCTGATATTTCGACTTGAATACCACCGGTGTGCTCGCAATCATGACCATAAATCCCGAGACCGAACGTCTGTCATCGGTGTTGCTGCCCCAATCTGCATCCGAGAATTTAGCTCATTGTCTTCAAGTACCTTACCACTCGAATTGCTGCGCTCCAATGTCGTAGTCCTGGTTTCTCCAAGAATCATGATCGCTGTGTTACCATCTTAGCAATATCCGGTCAAGTACATGTCGTTATGTACAGCAAGCATCCAATCAAAGAGCTATAAGGCTTGGATCGCATTGGCGACCGTTCCTCTTCCGTTGTTGGTGACTGCTTTGATGACAGCTTCAATCCTGACGCGCATTGGTTATCCACGCTCTTGGCATCTTGTTGACCGAATCACTTGACCACGTCGCCGATGTAGCGAGTCTGCTTGATCATCAAATTTCCACTGACCTATCGTGATCGATTTCCATACCCAAAATTAATTCTGCCTTACCCAACTCCTTCATCTTGGAAGCATTCTTGAGTATGTCCTTGACTTGATATATTTCTTCGCTGGTTTGATGCGATAATCATGTCATCCACATATAGTCCAGCGTAGACAAACCTTTTTATTCGTGCTCTTGACATAAACACATTGATCTGCCCCGCAACTCTTGAAGCCATTCCTCACGTATACACGATGAATCGTCTTGTTCCAAGCACTTGCTGCTTGTTTTTATCCGTCGATAGCCTTGTTTAGTTAACAAATGTATCCTTGATCATTGTTGACACCTAGCGGAATTTTCATTGAACCGTTGTCCGTCAATACACACTGTTGAGAAAAGCCGTGTCGACATCCAGCTGTTCCATTTGATAGTCGCATTCAGCACATACTGCAAAAATTATCCGGATTGAATTCATGTTGGCAATAAGTCTCGATAAAGGCGACGCCATGCTCTTGCTTAAATCCTTTCGCGACCGGTCGTGTCTTGTATCGCACAACATCGCCATTTTGATCACGCTTCGTGGCAAATATTCATCGTGATTCAATTGTGCGTTCAATCTTTTCTCGTGGCTTTAATGTCCACGTTTGATTTTTGTATGAAAGCAAAGCTCAGCATTCATTGCTTCACGCCATTTCATCGCATCGTCGCTTGCCAATGCTTGAGCATAAGTAGTTGGTAGGTCCGTACTATCATCAATGCAAACAGCGTAGGCAAGATCAGCTTTTGCAATTAGTCCATCCTCGTCAATCATAGCCCCGTTCAAAGTCGTTGGACCTTCACTGCTTTCCTCCGACTCTTCGACATCTTAGCCGCTCCTTGTCATCAGTACCGGCTCACGTCCTGCTCTTGTTCGCTCCACTTCACGCCGAAACACCAAACGATTTTCGTGCTGCAATTGGGTCGATTGATGATACTCCATAATCTCAAGTCTGTTTTGTACAGGGCTCTCAGAAGGCATTTGTCGCTGTACATTGATGCTTGGCGCGTGATCCATATCATCCATTTCGACAACAGCAGCTGGCTTTTCGACAGCTTTCATCGGATCGTCCGAAACTGGCTGTCGATCCACTTGATGCTTAACCTTGACTTCATCACCATCCTTCATTACTCGAATGATTCGTTCCAGGCTTGACTTCTTGCGTGTCGTAAATGCCGCCCACCTCATGCTCATCCAACTTCACAGAGCGAGTCACATAAATTTTGGTAATCTCCAAGTCAAACACGCGATAGCCCTTGACATTCTCTGCGTTGACGAAGATCATACACTTGAAGCCATTGGGTTCCAGCTTGGTCCGTTTCACATCGTCAGTGTGAGCGTAGCCGTGCAAACCAAACACGCGCAAGTGATCCATTTGAGGCTTCATCTTGTATACCAGCTCGAAGGGTGTGATGTCTAGATGGGCCGTATTGCTGGAGCGTTTAATTAAATAAACTGCTGTGTTTACCGCTTCCGCCCACCATCCCGTCAAGACGCTCTTGTCATGTAACATGCTGCGGGCCTTCTCCATAATAGTCCTGTTCATACGCTTCGCCACTCCATTCTGCTGAGGGCTGTATGTTGGTGTACAATGCCGTTCTGTTGACATATTCCAGCCATTTTCTTGTTTCAAAATTCGGTTCCGTTATCAGATCATAAACATTGTAGTCGCACACCCCATTAGTACTTGTAAAGCGTCAGAATCCTTTGAACCTGCCAGCCACTTCACTTTTGCTCTCGATTATAGAATTCGCCACATAACATGAAATATCATCCACAAATGTAAGAATGTACTTGGCGCTACCCTTCGAGGTAGTCCTCATAAGCCCCGTGACATCTGTGTGTACGCATTCCAGCACACGTGTCGTTTTGGTCATCGAGCGAGATGGAAATGCCGCGGCTGTTTGCTTGCCCTTTAAACACCCAGCACACAATGTTTCCTCATTTTGCTTGATTGCTGGAATTCCTTTTGTTGAACGTTGTGTCTTGACCAGCACGTCCTTGCTGGGGTGTCCCACGCGAGCATGCCAAAGCTCCCACTGATTTTCAGCCCCAGCATATTCAGCGAGACATGCTTCCTCTTGCTCAGAGTCAAGCAAATACGACTTCCCGACTCTTGTACCTTACGCAATCGCTTGCTTCTTGTTCCAGATGACGCAAGACGACCGAGAGAACTCCAGACTCATACCACGCTTTGCAAGCTTGCCAACGGTTAGTCATCTTCTGTCGAGTCCGGGAATGTGCAGAAATTCCACCATGCAAATACCCTTGTCGTCCAATCCAGTCAGTTTCACCGCGTCAGCTCCTTAAACGAGCAACTTCTTCCCATCTGCAACCGTAACTTCAATGCTAGCTTCAAGGCCTTTGTAATCAAGTCCTTCTTGTGTGAGGCCATGTGGGAAGTTGCCCCACTGTCAATCAGCCATCCTGATGATTTCCTTCACCAACAGCAAACACCATGTCGTCGCTGT